AAAAAAAAAAAAAAAGAAATGTACTGTGTGTACTCATGAAATTAACGCAGCTTTGCTTAACTAGATCCTGCTTTTTTTTTTTAAGAAGGAAATCATAGACATACATTGATTTTTTAAAGTCTGCTATTAATGGTAGCCCTATGATTTGGCCTCTGAGAGAAAAGATGTGTGAGTGCCAGAATTAAAAGTCAGATCTCTTCTTCAGATGAAAGTCCTACTCATTAATTCTAAATGTGAGAGCTGCGCACAGTGAGAAGCCAGCTTCTCTATGAAGGTGAATATGGGGTGATTAGGCAGTTAATTGGCTTGTTCTATCCATGTCATATATTTGATGTCATTTGATATGTTATAAAGTATAAGTTGCTAGGTTTTCGCTCAACAGTATCATTACCATGAGGAGCATTAGAGGCTGTGGGAGGACTGTCCCCTGGAAGGTGAATGAGGCTGCACATTTTGCTGTAGGAAAGGGGAGCCCCATGGTTTCAAAGCCCCACACGCTGCTTTTACGATTGTCCCACGACCAACTAAAGCGAATGAAAATAGTAAGGACATGGATCTGAGAGTGAATGTTCGGAAATGACAGAGGGGTTTAGCCAAGAAACAAAGTCCTTTCCTTTCTCCTATTAATTGGACATGTCTATAATTTTATTTATTTAAAAAAAAATTTTTTTCAACGTTTATTTATTTTTTTTGGGACAGAGAGAGACAGTAGAGATGAACGGGGAGGAGAGAGGGGAGACACAGATGTCGGAAACAGCTCAGGCTCTGAGCCCAGCGGCCAGAACCCGATGCTGAGGGCTAACTCATGGACGCGAGATCGGAGTACCTGGCTGAAATTGACGGCAGCAACAGAACTGCATACCACCCCTATAATTTTAAATACATGTCTATAATTTTAAATACTCTTGCATTATTGTGGACTATAACAAATTTCTCATGTGCAACTTTATAGCAGATCTGGACTGTACCGAATCTGCCTCTAGTCAGGAAAGATCACTTGTAATTGTTCAAGGTTAAACAGTACTTTGCAGATATGCCTCTCTTTGAGAGAAGTATTTCATGATGATGTGTGAAGAGGAGAGAAATAACATACAAGTAGAGTTGTGAAGAAAGACAGGGATTTATGAATTTAAGGGAGAAAAACATGGCAAAGAAGAGCAGAATCAGAATAAAAAATGAAGTAATTCACCTTTGCTGAGATTCTTCCAAGGGAAGAGAGAGAAAGAGAGAGAAAGAGAGAGAGAGAGAGAAAGAGAAAGAATGAAGAGGAGTTAAAAAGAATGATGGACGTGGAAAACCTAAGTCTATAGCTTAGTTGAATAGATGATTAAAGGATGGATAGATTGCAGGGTGGAATCTAGGGAAAGACTAATGTGGAATTTCCAAAAGGCAGGATTCAGAATTCAATGACCATGAGGAAAACAGTTTTGACCTAAGGCTTAGAGAGTTAAACCTGCACCCAAACAGGAAAGGACAAAATCAGGCAAACAGCAGCTAAGGGAGATAAAAATGCAACTTTGGAATGGGTACAGATGAGACAGATAACCTGTGATCAGACAGGTAACCTGTGATCTTGTATACCTGGAAGATGACTCAGAGAAAACCAGAACAAAGCTTAACTTTGACATTAGATTATTAATTTGTTTACTTCTTAATGTTTTCCCTATTCCTTCTGTACAGCAAGGACTTTACTCATTTTTGTAACCCAAGAACCTAGAAAGGAGTCAGTAACATTGTAAGTGCTCAGTAAATGTTGGTTGCTTAGTTTAAGGGATGAAATTTTACCAGATTTTGGTAAGGTAGGAAGCATTATTATCTCCCCAAAGAACCCTAGTTGGAGAACCAAGAGATTCTAATTTCTGCTTTTAATTTTTTTTATGTTTCTTTTAAAAAAATTTTTTTACATGTTTTATTTATTTTTCAGAGACAGAGTGACAGAGTGTGAGCGGGGGAGGGGCAGAGAGAGAGGGAGACACAGAATCTGAAGCAGGCTCCAGGCGCTGAGCTGTCAGCACAGAGCCCGACACAGGGCTCGAACTCACGAACCGTGAGATCATGAGCTGAGCTGAAATAGGAAGCTTAACCGACTCAGTCACCCAGGCGCCCCTAATATTTCTTTAGTGATTTAGAGAGAGAGAGAGAATGCAGGGTAGAGGCAGAGAGAGAGGGAGAGACAGAATCCCAAGCAGGGCTTGATCTCACAAACTGTGAGATCATGATCTGAGCCGAAAGTAAGAGATGTTTAACCAACTGAGCCACTGAGGGGGCCCTAATTTTACTTTTATTATTTCTTTTGTTTTGGACAAGGAGCTTCATCTCTATGTCAGTTTCCTGTCTATAGAAAGACTCCTTAGCCAATCCTCCTTGACTAGGAGAAGAACACACTCTCATTATGTGAAG